GGAACCACTGACCTCTGCGATACTAGTGCAGCGCTCTACCAATTGAGCTAAAAAGCCACTGGGAGCAGGCCGTTAAGTTGATTCGTAATAAACCCGGGATTTTTCCTTGTATTTGGTAGACGGGCTTCAAGAATCTTTGGGCATTGGAGATCGTAAGTATTTTCTCCCCTTTTCTCTACATTTATAGTCGTGCTAAGTACCTGCCGGGAGGGAACGCTGACTTTTCTTTTTCTCTCTTTCGTTCGGTCACCCATCTGGTTCTTGGACCTTTTCGTTGGGGCCAAACTTCAGTCACCCATCCGTTTCTCAGCTCTGCTGAACTCGGTGGGTGCGGCCTTTTCGCGGGCTTTTTTCGCGAGCTTTTTCGCGGGCCTTTTCGGGCATTTTCGGGCCCTTTTTCCGATCGTTTTCGGACTAGTAGCAATGGTACTTGTGTGTACAAACACCTGTGTTCTTCATGCCCCGGTGGGGCTGATGATCCATGAAAGAGCCCGGATCCTCTCTATGTTGGAGGTGGTGTTGGACGTAGACAAGCTCTCGGCCGTCCAGTCTTTGCCTCAAGGGCTTATTCGACTAACGTTTAAGGAATCTGTGGATAAAGACAGATTAGTAGAACTGGGCAAGTTGACTATCGACGGGCAGGATTGTGATGTCACAAACTCGGATCGTCCGAATACTGTGGTGTATATTCACCATTTTCCTGCTGAGGGAGATGACAACAAGTTAATTGAGGAGTTTAGGCACTTCGGAAAAATCATCTCTGTTAAACGTTAAATGTATTTGGGGAGACCTAATCTCTCTACTGGCACCCGTATCATAACTATGTCTCTCTTTAAGCCTATCCCTGCCCAGCGTTCACTCGAGGGCTACCCACTCCGTATGTGGTACCGTGGGATCAAGCCGTTTTGCCCAATTTGTAAGAACATGGGCCACAAAGCGGCTGACTGTGCCTTTAATGGAAAATGTATTAAGTGTGGCGAGGCTGGCCATCGGTCCCGCGAATTTCCTAGCCGTCAAACTGTTTGGGCCATTGCGCCCGCTGGTGAGGTTGCCGGCCCCCCGACTGCGGAGTTTCCCCCGCTCTCGGCCCCAGCTAGATCTGACGCGCCTTCTGGTGGTGTTGAGGGCGAGGCGGCCCCTGGCCCCTCACAGGCCCCTGACGTGGTTCTTGAAAGTAATGCCATGGATAACGTTCCATGTAACAATCTAGGCCCAAGCATGGCCAATAATGTAGTTAATAATGTTATTGAAAATGACGTAACAGAAAATAGTGTTGCTGCAAATTCTGTAGCTGAAAGTAATGTAGCTGTAAAAGATGTAGTTGAAAATAATGTACCTGATAATAATGTAGTTGAAAATAGTGATAGTACGGTTGCAACCGATAGCAATTTAGTTAAAGAAAATACGTTCATCTTTAGTGAATCTAGTGAAACGATTAGCGAATTCAGTTCGCAAAGTTATGTAACTGACGAGTCTCAGTCTATCCTGGATTCTCCGTCTCCCTTGGAGAGAGAGGAGTCTGGGGACGGTTTTGAAACTGTCACCCACAAGCGCGCCGGTAGGGCGCCAAAACGTGTCTACGCCCCGTCCGGGGCGGCGTTGCAAATTGCTGACTCCAAACGGTCTAAAGCTGTCGTGACCACCCCCAAGAAGATAGGGAAATAAGGGCTCAATGGTCTTCTACTTCTTCCAATTTATCTCTATGGCTCTCTCCATCCTATCTCTGAATACTAATGGCATCCGAGATAATGCTAAACGTGATGGTCTCGTTCAGTGGTTGCGCTCTCTCCCTGTGAGTTTGGACCTGGTCTGCCTCCAGGAAACGCATTGTACGTCTGGAGATGAGTGTTGTTCTTGGTTTCTTTCCTCTGGGTTTAACTCTGTACTGTCTCCAGGCTTTACTCATTCTTGCGGGTGTGTGATTCTTTACCGCCCCACGTTGTCTCTATTTAACTCTTGGCCCGATTCTGACGGCTGTTTTCTTCAATGTGAATTCTCCTTTCGTAACCAGTCCTTCCGCGTCTGTTGTTTGTATGCTCCGAACCGCAACCCTGCACGAGACCAGTTTCTAGACGGGATCCACCCAAAAGTGGACCCCTCCATCCCTACGTTATTGTGTGGCGACTTTAACACTGTCTTTGACCGTAGCCTGGACAGACATGGCTCGGTCCCCTCCGACTCGTCGCGGGAAAGTACTACCTCACTCCGCGGCCTTTTTGATGCATGTTGCGTTCTTGACATCTACCGGTATCTGCACCCCATATCTCCCGGTTTCACTTGGACTAAGTGGAATGGCGCTCTCGCGTCTCGGATTGACCTTGTTGGTGTTCCCTTCCTTTGGATAACATCGGTCAATTCATGGTCTGTTGTTCCGTGCCCTTTCTCGGATCACTGTGGTGTTCTCACCCCGGTGTTTGTCCCAGACACTGTTCCACCAGGTCCTGGGCTATGGAAACTGAACACAGCCATCCTCAAAGAAAGTGAATATGTCCAACTGGTGACTGACTTTTGGCGCACTTGGCAAGGCTCAAAAACTGTATTCGCTTCACTCAGAAAATGGTGGGAGGATGGCAAAAACCGCCTCAAAGGTCTGACAATTGATTATTGTAAGTCAAGGTCTTCTACGGAAAAGCGCAACAGAGACACTCTCGTCAATCTCATTGCCCACCTGAAAGCAAAAGTGGATGCGGGATCGGTCTCATGCGTCACACCTTACCAGTCAGCTCTCTCCACCCTTGCAGCTCTCGATCGTGAAGCTGCCCGTGGTGCCCAGGTAAGGTCTCGGATTACATGGGTAGAGGAGGGTGAAACCTCAACGTCATACTTCTTTCGCTTAGAGAGAAAACGTTCAGTAGATCGTTGGATACCCGCCTTGCGCGAGAGCGGGGGTTCTATTGTCTCGTCCCCGGATGACTTATGCCTTACGTTAAACTCCTTCTATTCCGATCTTTTCTGTACCACTCCCGCCGATCCTCACGCCCAGTCCTCTCTCCTGTCTAATCTCTCGTCCTCGCTTCCTCCTGATCAGGCTGAGACATGTGAGGGCCTTCTAACCACGGAGGAGTGTCTCGCAGCAATTAAAGGCATGGCAAAAAATAAGGCCCCTGGCCTTGACGGTTTCCCGGCCGAGTTCTACCTCAGGTTCTGGGGTGTTCTTGGTCGAGACCTTGTTACTGTCCTAAATGACTGTTTCCTCTCCAGATCCCTCGCTCTCTCGTAACGTCGTGGCATTATCACCTTATCATTCAAGAAGGGAGACCGCCTTGATCCCCGGAACTGGCGCCCAATCACCCTGTTAAACGTGGATTACAAGATTGCATCCCGAGCTATCGCAGGCAGACTCTTGAAAGTGATCCATCTCGTCGTCAAAAAAGACCAAACCTGTGGCGTAGCTGGCAGGTACATCGGGGAAAATGTCTCCTTAGTTCGTGATGTGGTTCAGTACACTATGTCCACGGGATTCCCTGCAGCAATCTTGTCACTGGATTAAGAAAAGGCCTTTGACCGGGTAGATTGGGGATTTATGAAGGCTACCCTCTCTGCCATGGGCTTTGGCCCCGCCTTCAACGCGTGGGTGAGTCTTTTCTATCATCGTGTGCAGAGTTCCGTAAATGTCAACGGGTATCTCTCTCCCTTTTACTATCTGTCGCGGGGCGTCCGACAGGGTTACCCCCTGTCCCCCCTCCTCTATGTCCTCGCATTGGAAGTCCTCGCTGCCAGCATTCGCGCTAATCCACGAATCTCTGGCCTGTCAATCCCCGGTTTTCCACCATTATCTCCGATATCTCAGTAAGTGGACGACACAGTCGCCCTAGACTGGTCGCCAACAAAGCTAAAGATCTTGGGAGTTTTTGTTGGTCCCGGGGATCTGGAGGAGGAAAACTGGCGCCCTCGCATAGAGGCTGTGGACCATGTTCTCAAATCCTGGCGTAGTCGTTCCCTGTCCTTCCGCGGCAAGGCTCTAGTCATCAATGCCCTTGCCCTCGCCCGGGTGTGGTACGTGGCGTCACTCGTCCACATACCCGCCTGGGTGCGGAAGGAACTCTGTTGTCTTGTATTCTCTTTCTTCTGGTCCGGTAAAAGAGAACTCGTGGCCCGCACTGCCGTAACCCAGTCCCCCCTATTCGGTGGCTTTTCTGTAGTGGATGTTTCGTTTAAAGTATGGGCCCTACTCGGCCAGTGGGTGAGAAGGTTTGTCTCTTCCCCATCTTACTGGTGCACTATGTTGCCTTTCTACTGGGTGACCGAACGAAAGAGAGAAAAAGAAAACTCAGCGTTCCCTCCCGGCAGGAACTTAGCACGACTATAAATGTAGAGAAAAGGGGTGAAAATACTTACGATCTCCAATGCCTAAAGATTCTTGAAGCCCGTCTACCAAATGCAAGGAAAAATCCCGGGTTTATTACAAATCAACTTAACGGCCTGCTCCCATGCCAGTTTGCTTCTTAGCTCAATTGGTAGAGCGCTGCACTAGTATCGCAGAGGTCAGTTGTTCGAATCCCGTACAGGCCTGATTTTTTTCAGGTCTGATTTTCGCTATTGCATAAATAGCGCGAGGATCGTGCATCATACGTATTTCCATCATTCTTATGACCTTAATGTGTGATTCAGGGGTGATATAGTAAGGATAAATTAGATGCTAGTCACTCTTCGGGGTTATATGGTTGAGAAGAAGCAAATAAATAAAGGGAATAAGTTTCTAGAGAAACTGTGGTACTTCGTCGGTTGGGGGTATTGGAGGTTAATTTGGTTTAAAGTGCCTATGAAGTAAAATTTTTTTTTTTGCATAATTTGTAGCTTATTATGTCCTTATTAAGGAATGACAAAAGAAATTTTTCAAGAAAAGAAATTTAAATCGGCTTTTTGGTGGCTCGAAACCCTAAATTAGACGTTATCTGTGTCTCCGGAAACTGGGATCGAGTTTGGCTCTGATGACCTCGTTTTGTGTGCTTCAGATTGAAAATCTCTCCGTCAAAGTTCTATTTGCTTCGATTTCCTGGGCTTAAACGCAAGTATGTCTGTTAGTGACGCTCAGATATCATCTTC